TTGCTCAAACGCATATTTTAGTTATACTCAAATATGGTATCTATTTGGTTCTAACTTTAATATAGGTAACCAAATAGAAAACAAACAAATAGAGATTTTTAATATGTTATGAATTAGCAATCAGTAAAAATATCAGCCTGATTTCTGTGTTCCTATTGTCTATCAGAATCAGTCTATCTATTCAGAGGAAAAGTACCAACGTACAAATAATGATAGGTACAGGTATTTCGCTAAACATTATAATGTTATTGCATATCACGAAGTCTTGTTACCTTTAGGCTTCCGAACCACAATTTAAGTTAGTCACTTGCAGACTGCTGGTTATGATCTAGTGCTGGCAGACGTGAGCTAATTAGTTCAAACTGCACATGTCTGACAAAGCTTTTAACTGAACATCGTCGGAGACCTGCTCCATTAGTGTACTCAGAGGAGACTGTTACATAGGTATAGTGTTATGGGCTAAAATTATACAATTTCTTAGACATATTATGGTCGTCTTGCGAAGGCGACAAATAAAGAAAAATGTTATATTTTTTTCTTCAAAACCAGAAGGCACGCATATTGTCTTCGGAAATCTTACTATCTTACTAATATAAATGCGAAAGTTACGATGTTTGGATGTTTGTTACTCAATCACGTCAAAACGGCTAGATGGATCTGGATGAATTTTGGCATAGGCATAGGATACACTCCGGAATAGGACTGAAGCTACTTTTTATCAACATAACACTTGGGCGAAGCCACGTTTGTAAGTTAGTTAAGTTAGTTTCATATAATATTCAATTTTGATCGTATTAAGATTATGATTATAATAGTCAATATCATACTTAAGATTTAAATAGCCACCAGTAAAATCTGATGTTCAATTATAATCAAGATTTAGTTCTTAACATGGTTTCAATACTTTTGTTAAAAGTCAGAAGTATGAGAACTACAGTAATAGATACATATGACAACTGAAATCAAGCTAGTGTAATAAAAATCTCCAACCCGGCCTTTAAGCGTGGGGATTACCAGATTTAGAACCCCTAAGGAAAGCAATGGGGATGGCAAATTACAAAAGAAATCAAAATCAAACAGTTGTAATGCCCAATAACTATAACAGAAATCTGAGCGATTCACTTTATATTATAGTAGTTCGTAAAATTCTTCGAATCAGCGAAACTTTTGTAGTTAAGGAGAATAATTTGCAGCTTGAGGGAATATCCGTGGAAACCACTAAGCGATGTTGTAGCGTGTGGTCTGCGGTAATGTTGTGTGTAGAATAGTCTATCGACGTCAATATTCCACAACTAGTTATCGACTACAATAGATATTGCATAACGAACTTCAACCACACACCAGATCAGAACAAACATCTTGTCGTTAAGACAATGTTCGATACAAACTATCACTCGTAATTGAAATACAATAGTTAGGATACATCGTCAAGTTACCAAGTCATAAAACTACATTGATTGCTGATATCGTTAGGCACTCTGTCTAATATTGTTAATTGAAATTTAGGGGATGCTTAATAATATTGTTGACTAGCTTCCTAAGTCTTAATAAACCTTATAGCATGATTCAGTGTTCACATGCGACGGCGCGATGGCTTATTATCCAAACTACTAAGCTATGAGCAGTTACACGTGCTATTGTGAGTTGACCATAAAAGACAGACATATGCTGTAAAGAATTTTTTTGTACATAATTTTATGTAGAATATTTCCGTCATACATGATTTGTATGTAACTTTAAGCATTAAGGCTACACAAGCGACGGAAACTTAAAAAAGGGAGTAACTTCTCCCGTTTTTCCAACATTTCTCTTCACTGCTCTGCTCCTATTATTTGTAGCGTGATGTAAAGTATCTTATAACCTGCCAAGGATTATTATACCAAGTTTTGTTAAAATCCGTCGAGTACTTTTTGCTTCTATAAGGAACATACAGACAGACAGACAGGCAAAATTTTTACTGATTGTATTTTTGGAATCAGTATCGATCACTAATCACCCCCTGGTAATTATTTTGAAAATACATTTAATGTACAGAATTGACCTCTCTACAGATTTATTACAAGTATAGATAAAAACTTAGGGGATGATTAAATATTTAAGAAGTGGCTTGAGATATGGACGGCGACCAAGGGTAGGTCGTAACTCTCGATTCGAACCACAACCAGCGCACGGGCGCCTTAAGGAGCCAACAGCCCACCACAGACAGGGCCCAGCAGGGTCTACGTTCAGCTGGGATTGCGAGGCAAGCGCATTAAGGTACCGCGGCCTCGGCCTGAAGTAGGAGAAGGAACAGGGGTCTTTAGTCAGAAAGAGTTTGCGTTTTAAGAGAGGGTCATCTCGCTATATCCTGGGCCGTCCTGGAGACATTTGATGATTTTTTCCTCCTCAAAAAAGGAGGATGATTAAATTAAACAGAAAGCTATAAAGTCACTTAGTAGTGGTTATAAAAGAAGATAATAAACAGAAGTTTAAAAATCGTTTGGTTTCGAAATATGTGTGGCTTCAAAAATATAGGGAAGTATAAAGCTAATTACCTACAGATAAAAAAACAGAATGAAGTGTCAAAACCTACAAAATTGATAAACTAAAAATAATAAATGATCGCCTGGACTACTCAAGGTCCATTAGTGCTGAATCCAGCACTCAACCCTGAATCCAGACTACGTCCTAGTCGAGATAAGGCAAGAGAAAGATGGAAGATACTGTGGATGTAAAAAAGCTTAAGACGATCAATTTGATCTTTTAGTTCGGGTACATTGATTAATGTCTGTTACGACGCTCAAACGTAGGAAAACACGGCGAGGGCTTCATTAAAAAAGGATTTGTTATTAGAAACTGATCCGTCGCTATCTGAGATATAATAAACACGCCGTATTTTAAGGTTAATATTAAAATGAGAAAAACCGTGAGACTTTAATCCTTACAGTAGTAGGGATAAGGATTTAATTTGTTTCGTCCATGTTTTTTTAATAACGTTTTCGTTTATTTGACTGTTAAGCACACGTGTTTAAGCACTATTAGTTAATGAAATTAATAAGATGTTCTCATAGAAACAGCGGTTTACATGTAGATAGATTATTTGGTGTATAATGTTAAAGTTGTTATTGTCTGATAAGGGCATTTTCCTGCAATATTATTATTATTGGGAACAAAGAGAAGAAATATTACAATCATAATATATATACCATTTACCCGTGGCTTCGCTTCATATTTGATAACTTACACTACCGACCTAGCTACCTACCTACACTACCTACCCTACCGTACCAACCCTACCCTAGCTATCATGTTCTTCTTCTGGTTTAAGACTACATCCCTACTAATTCTCAATGAAATCGGTTCAGCCGTTCTTGAGTTTAAGTGTAACTAACACGATTTTCTTTTTTATATAGGTATAGAATTTTTCAAGTTCAGCACACGTTATGAAGGAAAAATTGCAAGTTATAATGAAGTTGAGGGTAGTGCAAGTCCATCAACAATTTCACGGGTGGCTTGCAATCGAGGCCAGGCAGGAGTACACACACTATCACGATCGCGGTGGCAGTGATTATGCACTCAGGCGCCGCCGCCGCCGTCCCGGCTCAATTTAACGCCATTTGCTGGGCGACCCGCGACGCGACGACCTTAACTGCCAATTAATAGCTTCTATTTAGCACCCACTAACGATGTAATAAAAATATAATAAAATTATCCTCAATTTGTCAATACATTACTTAATGTTTACGCACTTTCTCTTCAGGAACTAAACTTGTCTCAGTACGACGTATGATTTCCTAATTAGTTACATTATCGCAATTCAAACGAAGAAAGTAGGTAATAGCGTAGTACTGATCTAGACTAATATCATAAAGAGGTAAAATTTGTAAGTTTGTATGTAGGGAGTAATCTTTGGAACCGCTGGTCGGATTTCCAAAATTCTTTTAATAATTCACTGATAGATAGGTTACAATGTTCCTGAGTGCTATAGGCTATAAAATATCAAGCTACGATTAAATAGAGCCGAGCAGCGGGTGAAACCGCGTCAGAGTAGCTAGTTTTCAATAATTTGAATCTTAAGTGATATTTGAGTTCAATAGTCAAACAGGGAACGAATGAAAGGCATCACTTGGCCAACGTAAACCTAATCATTGAAAACTAACAGTATGCGAGGGAGCATCGGCCATTCCCAGTCGAGATATATGTTTGACTTGCTACGTTTGTATTCCCTCTGTTTGTGATTGAGACTCTCGACGTCGAATAATCTGTCTTGATTTTAAAGGAATATGTTCGCTTACATACGCTTCTTCGCGAAATGTTTTCCTTGTAAGAAAATTTAATGTTAAACTTTTCAATCGTTTGCTTATGTCAGTTCTCGGAATGCTACTTTATTTGAGTACTGTTAGACTTTTTATCGAGTACTAAAAAGATACTAATAATAATTATATAAGTAATAAATTGTGTGAATTATTGTTCATATATTTTTTTTAACATTTTAAGTTACATTTCGCAGGCTTCAATGAGACTGAATAGAGTTGTAAGCCACAACAAAAGTGAGTGTGCAGTAAAAACTGGTGAAGTTTCAAGTGGCTGCACGCTCCGCACAGCATGGAGTGTAGTGACGTCACGGGTCCGGCAAACGTTGCATACAAATCAGCGCAGTGGCCGACTTTCAATGAAACTTTGCAAAATTAACTTTGATCGCGTTTTAATACCGGCGTTTGCGTGTATTAAATCTCAATTTATATCCGGCCCATCTTTATCCAACTAGTTTATGAATTCGTTTTAAAGTTTCCCCATTAAGTTATAGTTACTGTTACGGAATATTTTTATAAGAACATCCTGTTAGGATTTCTTCACTCAAATCAGAAGAGACTTTTTACCGAGTCTAATACAAAATTTTATTACATTTTGTAAACACTGTAAAGTAAACAATAAATATTATTATATAATCAGATCACATATTAATATATAATCGGATCACAATTCATTTTTAAAATACTTGTATCCTTGGTTATGTATGGTTAATATTGCCGGATACGCATTTCGAGGTCGGAAGGCTTCAGGCATATTCTTAGTTTTCTTACGAAGGGACTATGTCTGATGCCAAAGCTAGGAGCAGGTACATTTGGCTTATTTACCATGAACTGCGAATAAGTAATATAACAATTATAAAATTAAATTTCTAAGGATGCAAAAACAAAGTTAATTAATAAAAAAATACTACAAAACAGTCAGTCAGTCAGTCGTTTCAAAACAAGGTGGCATGGCAAAATAAATTCTATATATGCAATATTTACATAAAATTATATAAATTTATATCATAATATACTCTCATCTCTCTGTGTTTGACAAAGCTAAAGAAACGAAGTCCGCCTAAACATATTATTGTGTAAGTATTTTATAAATAAATACAATCAATAAAAACGAAATAAACTCCCTTCTTCTTTGGACTATGCAATGCAATTTGCAATATTGGTCAAAATGTTCTACGAGCTTTCGAGTACAGCGAGGCTTAAAAAGAATAAATTATGAGTTTCGAAATCATTAAAAAATTTTGTTCGTACCTTCTTTTCGCAGTAAGTGTTAGGCGCAGGAGTAAATTCTGTGCCACGTTCTGGTCTGAACGGAGGCCCAAAAGAGAATGCAGGCTTCCTCTTTTTAACGTAATCATGATTAGGGTTGTGTTCACCTGGACCAGGTACGTTGCTGATATGTTCTACCTCGGTTTTGTACCGAAAACTGAATGATGGTGGTTTTCTGGAAAAAATGTTCGATGTTGTTAATTGTATTACATTATAAAACAGTTGTCGAGATGTCCCAAGTCAATGTAACATGAACTATTAAGCCGATTCTGACCGTAGCCAGCCGCGCAATTTCGTGCGCTTACTAGCAAGAACAACAGATTCATAATTAAGTCGGAATAGCCACAACATAGGAGCTCTGAGAGCATGGTACAAATATGCACTACGCTTTAAATCCGAAGATTAAACCGAAATGCTTCTGTATTTCAAAATAAATTAATTAGCAGGCAAAACTGCTGTAAGTGTATTGTGGTATTTTCTCTTTGAAGAAGCTGTGATATTGTGAGAATTTGTTTTTGCAGTAAGGTCTATTTATTCTTTTGTTTTCTACCTTTCGTGAGACATAATTAATTAGAAAAATGTATAAGTGATAATAAATACGAGAAAATTAGTCGAATTTAATACTATACTTTTTATGAAAAAAAGGATATTATCAATGACTTTTGTATATTAAGAATAATGACGTCATCATTATTGCTACATCAAATACAATAATTTCTCAAATCAATGCGAGTATCATTATTTTCAGATTTACTAGATCTCTAAAAAAATAATTTATGGAAACAATGGATTTTTGTAATTACTCAAGGCAAATTTTATTAAGAGGCCCATCCAGCTCAACCGTAGCCACCACTACGGTTGAGCCACGGTCTCACAGACAAGCGTGAAACAACTACAACGTTGCGTTTCGTCATGTGAGTAAAGTTACCAGAGGCTAATTAAAATATAAATTTATTTAATAATTAAAATTGCACGTGAAAAGTCATTATTATCTATAAATTTTGTATGTTTCACGAAAATTATTATAAAAAATATTTAAAACGATGATCGAAGTACACATTCATGTAGGTTACGCTGCATGTTAAATTAATTGTCCGAAAACAGCAATCTATTTTTATTGAGATACTAAAGAAAATCTCCTATTATTTACTTACGGTTTTGGAATGGGAGGACAGTACATATTGGGTGGTGGAGTCCAGGAATCCAACGGCTGGTATGCAGGCTTAGCTGCAAGCCGCAAGCTGTACGCTGGTAGGCGCTTGACCTGCACGTATAATTTGGGATCGTGAGCACCAGGCCCTGGTACCTTCAGCTTATCCCCCGGCAGTTCCGTATTAAGCATCATTAAACCTCCTGGTATTTTATGAGTCCCTGGTAACATAAAATATGTTACATGAACTTTAACTGCTGTGTAAAACTTTTTGTCATCAATATATTGGACGACGCCATTAATTCAGTATATGTATGACATATATTTTAATTGAATAAATTATGATTCACTATAACTATTTGACATTAACCTTTTTTACTGTTCCCGCTTATATCGATCATCGGTGCATTGGGTGAAACCGCTGGAGCGCAACAAGGTTTCAAAACTTTACCAAACGTGTAAGCTGGTGCGCGCTTTATTTTGGAGTATCCTTTACCACCTGAAACACATTTCATAAATATATTTATTATTGTTTTTTGTTTAAATAAAACCAATGCCCCACACTAGGATTTTCTCCTTTATCGTGGGTGCGTTTACAAACATACAATTCACATACACATCACACCCAGACCGATAACATCAATCGCGTGAAACACGATGCTCTGGTCGTTTCACGCCGGTTTTCCGTGAGGCCGTGGTATCCACGGGTATCACTCCGGTCGAGTCGACCCATTTGTGCCGAAGCTTGGCTCTCCCACCTAAACGTTTTTATTTAAATAAAAGGTTATTTTTAATACAATTTGTCGGAACGGTAATTTATAATTTCAGAGCAAATGAAGCATAGGCCCTCGAAATCATTGACTCGCACTCGCTTATAAATACGATCATTAGACTAACGGAAGTCTTCGCTTTTAAAGTACTTAAATTTGAGTATTATCAAGAGGCTCAGCCGTGGCTCAGTTAAGTCGATTAATATTTCTATTAGATCACTTAGCAACAGAATCTGTTTCTAAAAGTTGACATCAAAGGCGAATAATGAGTGAAATTGATAAGATTTATTGTTACCAAACTTTTCAAATTTATCTAGTTTTCTGGTATTTTCAACTGGGAATTGGGTAGGCCGTTAAGCGTTAATGAACTTGTCGTAAAAGCACTAGCTAATCAACTTTGTTACGCAATTAATATTGTAATTATAAAGTTTTGCAAAAAGGACGCTGAAGTAGTTCCATACTTAATGGAAACTTTAAAAGAAATTTCTTTTGTATTTGTTTCTTCTCATCTTGTTGGTACTTAACCAACATAAATAGTCAAGCAACAATTTGGTGGGTCGCTTCCGATGTAGATGTTTTATTAGGTACTGCTTTGTTATATCTTTGCCATATTTAAAATGTACTTAGACTTTCGTGCAGAAGATATGAAAATACATCATATAGGCTGACTTTATCTCTTTTATAACCGCAAGTGGTTCATCAATGGTTTATTTACTACGATAACTTCAGTTCCTTGGTTATTCAGTTACCTTATTCCGTGCAGTACGTGTAAGGCTAATAGTATTATTGTAAACTCATTGTCCAATTGTTGTTATTTGTAAAGTGACAGGTATCTGTCGCTACAGATACCTGTTTACTTGTCTATGACAGTGGTCATAGACAAGTAAACAGTCTTGTATTTTATTATATAAAAGTGATACCCGACACTAAAGTAATAGTCGACTAATTTAATAGTTATGGTCAGATATCGACCTTAACCGTGACCACTCTGATTTTTGGCGGGAATTCGAACGGTGTTGAATTCAACATTAAGGATATATATTTTGAATAATTATAAATATAACGTAGAATATTCAAGTATTCATTGTTTTATTTCTGAGTTAAGATCTAGTTTCTACAACTCAGAAGTGGGATTACTACAAAACGCTCACGAGTTTTGAAAAATAAAAGGAAATAAAAACGACAAAGAATTTTGAACATACAATCAACCACGAGTTTTGAAAAAATTCTTAAAATGGACTGTGACCATGGCGAATCACGAAGAAGTCGGTCTTATATACGTACACCTATTATGAGCGAGAAACGCAAGCGTCGCTACGATGATGAAGCAAGTAAAAACTACTTGAGGGAGAAGAAACGTCGCAGGCAGCAAAGAAGTACGCCTAGCGGTTCAAGTGACCAGGGCAGGACGAGTCGATCTCGAACACGGACTGATAGACGGCGTCGGCGAAACCGGAAACGTAGCTGTGAAGCTGAGCGTCGTTCGCGCCGAAGCCTAACGATGGAGTGGAGTGAGAGTGAACAGGACGAGAGGAATAGATCCCGAACACGAGCTGGTGGTCATCATTGGCGAACTCAGAATCGTAGCTGCGAGGCTGAGCGTCGTTCACGTCGAAGTCTGATGATGAAACGGAGCGAGCAAAGGCGTACCAGTACCCGGAGGCGGCTATCCAACCGAGGCAGCTCATCGAACACCGTAGTAAGTAATGCATCACGCGAAAATACCCAGGTAAGCAAATCTATGTTTGCTAACAGCGAAACTCAATTATTTTTGAACGAGTTATTAAAATCTTTGTCAGCCGCGAAGCCAGAAGGAAATAAATTTCCAATGCTGGGTAATGTTATTCCTGAATTCGACCCCATGATCAAAGGTCAGACGGTCCACATGTGGCTAAATAAGGTCGACGAATGTGCAAAGCTATACCGTTGGGGTGATGATCAGATTATTCACTACGCGCTGCCCAGACTTGCGGGCGTGGCTCGTACGTGGTACCAAGCGTTGCCTTCAATGTCATTTTCGTGGCCTGAGTGGAAAAGTAAATTAATTGATTCCTTTCCTAGTAGTGATGATTACGCAGAACTTCTTACTGAAATGTTGAATAAACGCGTGAAATACAATGAATCGCTAGAATTATATTATTACGAAAAATTAAACCTACTGAATCGATGCGAGGTTTTCGGGAAACGTGCCGTTGATTGCCTGCTGTATGGCATTGAGGATCGTTCCTTAAGACTTGGTGCTAAAGCAGCGAAATGTCAAGAACCTGAAGAGGTTCTTAATTACTTTCAATCCATTAAACAAAGTCGCGATTTTGACAAGTCTAAAATTGGCCAAGATAAAAATACCTACCATATATCATCAGTAAATTCAAACTTTATCACTAAACAATCAGTTGGAAATGACTCCAAGACGTCTAAACCACCATCTAGTACGTCAATGACATGTTTTAACTGTAAAGAAGTAGGTCATTTCAGTGTTAAGTGCCCACAAAAGTTACGCAGATGTAACATTTGTAAGAGGATTGGCCATGTAACAATTGATTGCCCGCAACTGTCTAATGAAAAGAGTAAGGATATTAGTACAGAAAAAAAAGGTCATGAAAGTCGATGTTAAAGATGCTAGTAATGACAAATGTATGATTTAATTAAAGATTAACGATGTTTTAGTTAGAGGATACGTAGATTTAGGCAGTCAGTGCACAACGATACAATGTAGCTTAGTAAAATCATAAGGAGTTACTTGGTCAGTAGGCAAGTTACCAGTTACGAGGGGATTGGGTAATATATAGTTGTTTCAATGGGAAGGCATGTATGAGAATGAAAATTAGTAACATCGTAGAGACGGTCGACGTTTACATAGTTGAAGATGGTATTATTAAATAACGTGTGGTTGTTGGTCACAGCTTTACTGAAAAACTTAGTATCATTATCTTAAAAAACCTCAGATTCTTAATCTTTAGCAAGAAAGCGATTAACAAATGCGGTTTTTTTTTAAGACGGATGTTGAATTTAACCAAACCAAAAGCCTGTGGTTCCTGTCTTTTGGGACAGAAGCTGCTTTGGGTCTATTTATGCCATGGGTTTATTAAGAATACAGCCTGGTAAGGAATTTTACTTATTACCTGATGAATATATTTTTTAAAATAGTTTAGGAGCACTTCTAGTCCTAAATTTTAGTGACCATTCACTTTTGCTAAGTAAAACCACATTAGTTAGTCGAGCTTTCAGTTTCGGAAAAGGTTTTGAGATCAACATGCTAGATATTAGCAAAAACGACATGAGTTCCGATCTCAATTTTATTATGGTAGTCACTTATCTGATAATGAGATATTGAGATTGAAATCATCGACGATCGACGGCCAACTAGATAGATTGTCGGTCAAATCTCTTTTCATCAGTCTTGATCTTCCATCTGGTTACTACCAAATCCCTATAGCAAAGGATCCACAAGAGGCAACGGCTTTTGACACACCTGACAGTCAATACCATAAAGGAATGTCTTTTTGGGTTAGCTAATGCCCCGTCAATTTTTCAAAGAGTTATGAACAAAGTTTTCTCTGATTAAAATACGTTGTCATTTACATGGATCATATCCGGATTTCCGCTAGAACTTTTAACAATGGCTTATTGGAACGTTTCGAAGAAGTTCTCCAGCATTTAGCTAATGCAAGGCTTACACTTAAAGAAGTGCTATTTCTTCTAAAGGGAGATAGATTTTTCAGTTTTGTGTGTCTGGAGATGGCATACGACCCGGATCTCGTAAAACAGATGCAAATTTTCTGTACCCAAAAACTTACATGAGGTGAGACGTTTTATAGGACTTGCTAGTGTCTTTGGAGGATTGCGCGATGGTAGGTTCAGCTGCTGGAGTACGACTGTCTTATCGACTAGGGCAGGCGCACGTATGGCTCATGTGAATGCTCTGAGTCGTGCTCCGGTAACTAAAGACACTGACGTTACTGATACACACGTGATTGACGTATTGCAAATAAAGGCAACCGATTGGATTGCAACTATACATAGCAACGACTAAGAGATAAAGCGAATTCGAGAAATTCTTTCTCTTCGATTTACAAAGAAAAATGTATCATCTTGCTTACAATGTGAACATCATAAAGTTCCATCAGGTCAAAAGGAAGGGTTATTACACCCTAGTCCAAAGATAGAAATCCCGTTTCATACATTGTATGTGGATCATCTCGGCTTATTTATTCGTTCTAGAAGGAGGAGCATGTATATTTTAGTAATTGTAGACGCGTTTACAAAATTTGTTTAATATACGTGCAGTAAAACAAATTTCGAAAACTTCAACTGCAATCAAAGTAAATCTAAAAAGCTTATACCAAAAAAAGCTCATACCAAAACTTCAAAGCCCGTCGGGTACTGAATTGTAAAAAAAATACCGAATGATAGGTTCGTAGTCGAAGACACCCCACTGACTAGGAAAGGAAACAAACGATACGAAACTATAATAGCAATTGATAAGATTCATACTTGGCAAAATTTTAACGAATAATCTAGTGGTGATGATTACGAGACGGATAGTAATGAAAGTGAAAATGACAAAAAGTAATGAAATAATGCCATTGAATTGAATAAACAATGTATGTTTTACTTATAGTACTTTAACTACTTGTTACGTTAGTATATATTATTTTAAGAAATGTTTCATAATGTATGCATTATTGAAATGAGTATCAGTGCTTTGCATAATTGCGTGGTATAATTAATTAAATTGTCAATATGAGATTATTATGATTGAGATTGAGGCTAGATGCGCTAATAATGAATAACACTGTGTTATAGGTTTGATTATGATTATTGATTGAAATAGTGATTGTAAGCACCGGCTATCAATGATCAGTACAGAAACGAATGGTATCAAATTATTGGTATCGTACAGATGATTGTTGACAATAGCAGATCGTGCAAGTGTTTGTTTATGATAGATTTATTGTGAGCACCGGCTATCAACGATCAGTACAGAAACGAATGGTATCAAATTATTGGTATCGTACAGATGATTGTTGACAATAGCAGATCGTGCAAGTGTTTGTTTATGATAGATTTATTGTGAGCACCGGCTATCAACGATCAGTACAGAAACGAATGGTATCAAGTTATTGGTATCGTACAGATGATTGTTGACCATAGCAGATCGTGCAAGTGTTTGTTTATGATAGATTTATTGTGAGCACCGGCTATCAACGATCAGTACAGAAACGAATGGTATCAAGTTATTGGTATCGTACAGATGATTGTTGACAATAGCAGATCGTGCAAGTGTTTGTTTATGATAGATTTATTGTGAGCACCGGCTATCAACGATCAGTACAGAAACGAATGGTATCAAGTTATTGGTATCGTACAGATGATTGTTGACAATAGCAGATCGTGCAAGTGTTTGTTTATGATAGATTTATTGTGAGCACCGGCTATCAACGATCAGTACAGAAACGAATGGTATCAAGTTATTGGTATCGTACAGATGATTGTTGACAATAGCAGATCGTGCAAGTGTTTGTTTATGATAGATTTATTGTGAGCACCGGCTATCAACGATCAGTACAGAAACGAATGGTATCAAGTTATTGGTATCGTACAGATGATTGTTGACAATAGCAGATCGTGCAAGTGTTTGTTTATGATAGATTTATTGTGAGCACCGGCTATCAACGATCAGTACAGAAACGAATGGTATCAAGTTATTGGTATCGTACAGATGATTGTTGACCATAGCAGATCGTGCAAGATGAGAGTGTATTTAAGATAGTTTTATTGTCAGCATAGATTATGAGCAATAGGTGCAGAAACGTATGATATTTAGTACAAATATCGCACAAATGATTAACTATCTTAGCAGATCATACGGTATATGACATGTGACTAAATAAATATGGAGATTTATTATTGTATAAATGCTAAAGATATTTATCTTATTATATAAATCTTATTGAAGTGAGAGGACTCACTTGTTGAAGGATGGCCGAACTGTAAGGCTAATAGTATTATTGTAAACTCATTGTCCAATTGTTGTTATTTGTAAAGTGACAGGTATCTGTCGCTACAGATACCTGTTTACTTGTCTATGACAGTGGTCATAGACAAGTAAACAGTCTTGTATTTTATTATATAAAAGTGATACCCGACACTAAAGTAATAGTCGACTAATTTAATAGTTATGGTCAGATATCGACCTTAACCGTGACCACTCTGATTTTTGGCGGGAATTCGAACGGTGTTGAATTCAACATTAAGGATATATATTTTGAATAATTATAAATATAACGTAGAATATTCAAGTATTCATTGTTTTATTTCTGAGTTAAGATCTAGTTTCTACATACGGAGTTGGGATCCGTGTCCGGAATACAACCTTACCACAAACCACTGAGGGTCAAACATGGGCCTAATAACTGGTGGAAACCGAGTGTATTAATACACCTCCGGCCCACAATTTGGCTATAAACAATGGTTGGTATATATGTATAGAAACGATGGCTTACAATATATGTCTGGCGCTTCATAATGGCTCGGCCCGGGCGTATTTAGTTCTTGCAGTATCGGTAAAGTTCGTTTTGTAGGTTTCGCTGGTACCTGTTTCAGTAACCTATTTCTACACTCGTAGCCAAACGGCATAATATACTTTGAAGTATCAAAAATTAATTAAGTGCACACTAATTATTATAATAACGAAATTGTTGACAATATTGTTACATGACACCATGTATAAAGTATCGTTTTTGAGTGTCAAAGTGACACAAACATTTGGTATTTGTCGTCGGCCAGTGGTATAAACGAAGCAATAGAAAGGAGATCCGAAATCATCCCAACGGATGAACAGAATAAAGGCAGCGATAACATTTGAAGATAAAAACGGCACGAACGCAGGAATCAGGAGGGCAAATAAAAACTCAGTGGAATTTCCACGGCCCAGGAAATTGAGCTGCACCGGATATCGTCGCACCGGAGCGACGTGCGACGGAGGAATGGCTTCCGGCCGAGGTGGGCCTCCTTCATTATACCTCCATTCTCTCCCACATTTCAATTCTGCAAATAAGACTCCGGCTTTAAGATTTTAATCTTATATTTAAAGTAACTACTTACTAACAATGGATTTCTTTGTCAATATTATTTTAA